TGGAACTGGCCAGCACAGCTGGGGAGGGGCCCTAAAGGCTAGCCCATCAGAGCCCTGCATGCCCAGCCTGGCCTCAGGTATCAGTGTGGACAGAATTCTCCTTCTTGGGAACAAAGCTACAGTCTTGCATGCAGGCCTCAGGCAGGCATAACATGCATGCCAGGCAAGGGAGGGCTGAGGACGACAGCAGAGGCATCTGCTGATGGCCTGAAGGAGCCACTTAGCTTCCAAAGGCTGTGCTGAGCCAGGTGACAGAGACAGACAGCGCGGACAGAACGAGAGAGAGGAAAGCTCTGCTGGGAAGCTCGCTCAGAGAGAGGGCGGTGGCAGAGAGGCTCCAGACACATGATGGTGGAACCGCACGACTCGGGCTAGCTCTGTTTTCTGGGAGCAATGGGAGCTGCAGGAGGGCTCTTGGTGCTCTTGGTGCGGGGCGTCGGGTGGGGGTGGTGCTGGAGGGATGGGAGGTGCCTGCACACCAAAGGGCACATGGGGCAGGTGGGAGAAGGCTTGGGGCTGGGCCATGTGACCTGCTCGCCCCCCAAGGAGGGAGGCCCCGAGACGTCCTTCAGTTTACCCCCTCCTTGCCGCTCAGCCTCCTGGGCTCCTCAGCGATGGAGGGAGGGGGCATGGGACTACCTGTCCTTACCCTGCAGCAGTCTCTGAAGCCCCAGGAATGACAGCAGAACGCCTCTCCCTGGCATCCTTTCCTTCTCAATGCCACAGTGCCTCCTTCCCGCTGTGGAACTTACAAAGCCCTGGGGATGCTGCCTCCCCAGGCTGACAGCAGCCCAGACCTGGGGAAGTTCTGCATGTGCGGAGCTGAGTGTGGGTTCCTCAGAAGTGCCAGAGGCCCTGCAGGCCCCTATTACCCCAGGCTCAGACCCAAAGGGCTGGATACCTCCACCCTCATCAGGTGCTTATGGGACAGAGAAGCTGAGTGCGGTCCTGAGCCCGGAACAAAAACAGCTTCTGTCAAAAAGGTGGTCTGTCCCCTCATTTCCGGGAAAGAGAAGGAAAGGAAAAAAGGCAGGTGGAGGGCTCCGGCTCCGTCTTCCTGAGCCTCTCAGGGGCTCTCAGAGGGGGCAGACCTGCGGGCACAAGGGGCGGGTGCAGACACCATCATGGTATCTGTGTCCCTCTGTCTGGGAAGGTAGAGGACATGGTTGGAGCAGAGAAAAGGAAGAAACAGTGAGACAGCAGAGCGGCAGACAGACAGACGGACAAGCCCCGAGAGGAGACGGGAGACCAGCCCCAGCACAGCCAGCCTCGGGGTGCAGGGTCGGGGTCTACCTTGTATGCAACTCGAGCAGGGCATTTCTTCCCCAGCCCCAGGGGTGGGGACATGTGTTTCAGCATCTCAAACATGTCATTGTAACTGATGCGCCCACTGGAGACCCGGCCCAGAGAGGCAGAGGCAGGGTGGGGTCCACAGGAAGGGGTGCAGCGAGAGAGGGTGGAAGAAGCGGACAAGAAAACAGATCCAATTAAGCAGCATCAGATTACATGCCAAAAGTCAAAATATGTAAAATGAGGGACTTCTCTGCTTGACTCAATCCCCTCCTTGCCCCTCCCACCCTCACCTCCACACTCCAGCCCCACGCAAGGCAGCGGGCAGGGGTGACATCTGAGCTAATGAACATGGAGGGATGAGTAAGGGCTGCATCCGGGCGGCTTTGGGTTGTCAACTTCTGATTTTACACTTTTAGAAACCACAGATAATGCCAAATCAGAAAAGAGCTGTTTCACCAAGCCGGGAGAGC